AAAAAAAAAAAAAAAAAAGAAACACCTTCAGTAATATGGTAGGATAAAGATTAACTAAAAAAAGATCAGTAGCTCTCCTATATACAAATGATGAACAAACTGAGAAGGAAATCGGAGAAGCACAACCTTTACAATAGCCACAAATAATATATTATACCTTGGGATGACTAATTAAGCAAGTGAAAGACATGTATGATAAAAACTTTAAATCTCTGAAGAAGAAAATTGAAGAAGATATTAGAAAATGGAAAGATCTCCCATGCTCATGGAGAGGTAGGATTAACATAGTAAAAATGGCAATCTTACCAAAAGCAATCTACAGATTCAATGCAATCCCCATCAAAATCCCAACACAATTCTTCACACACCTGGAAAGAACAATATTCAACTTCATTTGGAAAAACAGAAAACCAAGGATAGCTCAAAGAATCCTATACAACAAAGCCATCTCTGGAAGCATCACCATCCCTGACATCAATCTCTACTATAGAGCTAGAGTAATAAAAAGCAACTTGGTATGGGCAGAAAAACCAACAGGTGGACCAATGGAATTGAACTGAAGATCCTGACATTAACCCACACACTTATGAACACCTGATTTTTGACAAAGAAGCCAAAAATGTACAATGGAAAAAAGAAAGTATCTTCAACAAATGGTGCTGGAATAACTGGATGTCAAGGTGTAGAAGACTGCAAATAGATCCATATCTGTCACTGTGCACAAAGCTCAAGTCCAAGTGGATGAATGACCTCAATATAAAACCAGTTACACTGAACCTGTAAGAAGAGAAAGCAGGAAATAGTCTTGAATGCATTGACACAGGTGACCAGTTCCTAAATATAACACCAGTAGCACAGACACTGAGAACAATAATTAATAAATGGGGCCTCCTGAAACTGAGAAGCTTCTGCAAGGCAAAGGACACAGTAAACAAGACAAAATGATAGCCTACAGAATGGGAAAAGATTTTCACCAACCCCAAATCTGACAGAGGGCTGATCTCCTAAATATATAAAGAACTCAAGAAACTAAACATCAAAATAACAAACAATCGAGTTATAAAATGGGCTATAGAGCTAAACGGAGAATTCTCAACAGAAGAAGCTCAAATGGCTGAAAGATATTTAAGGAATTATTCAGCATCCCCAGTCATCAGGGAGATGCAATTCAAAACGATTCTGAGATACTATCTTACACCTATCAGAATGGCTACAATCAAAAACACTGCAGACAGCTGATGTTGGAGAGGATGTGGAGCAAAGGGAACACTCCTCCACTGTTGGTGGGAGTGCAAACTGGTACAGCCACTGTGGAAATCAGTATGGTGGTGTAGCTAGAGTTTTCCTGCCTTGCCCATAGTCAGGACAAATCTTTGTCACCCGCCAGTCCCACAGCCACTCAGACCCAACCAAGTAAACACAGAGACTTATATTCCTTCAAACTGTATGGCCATTGCAGGCTTCTTAATAACTGTTCTTATAGCTTAAATTAATCCATTTCCACAAATCTATACCTTGCCACGTAGCTCGTGGCTTACCGGCATTTTCACATGCTGCTTGTCTTGGTGGACAGCTGGCAGTGACTCCTTCTGCCTTCCTGTTCTTTTATTTCTCCTCTCTGTTAGTCCTGCCTATACTTCCTGCCTAGCTACTGCCAATCAGGCTTTATTTATTGACCAATCAGAGCAACACATTTGCATACAGACCATCCCCCCAGCACAGCCAAGTGCAGACCATCTCAGACACCTGCACTCAGGCCCGTGGTCCTAATCATCCTCTATGTGGACCTGCTGGGTAAAGCCATGAGGAACCCAAGAACAGGCCCCCACAGGACATACAGAACATCCCACAGCACTGGTTTCTTAGAAAATTGGGAATCAATCTACCTCAAGACCCAGCTATAACACTCTTGGGCATATACCCAAAGAATGCTCAATCATACCACAAGGACATGCTCAACTATGTTCATAGCAGCATTATTTGTAGTAGCCAGAACCTGGAAACAACCTAGATGCCCCTCAACTGAAGAATGGATTAAGAGAATTTGGTACATATACACAATGGAGTACTACTCAGCAGAGCAAAACAATGACATCATAAAATTTGCAGGCAAGTGGATGGAACTAGAAAATATCATCTTGAGTGAGGTAACCCAGACTCAGAAGGGCAAACATGGTGTGTTCTCACTCATAAATGGATACTAGATATAAAGCAAAGGATAACCAGACACCAACCCACAACTCCAGAGAAGCTAACTAACAAGGAAGACCCAAAGAAGGATACATGGATCCCCTTGACAAAGGGAAATAGATGAGATCTTCATGAGTAAACTGCGGATGAGGAGTAGGCAATGGAGGGTATGTGACAGGGGATGAGGACTTAAGGGAATGGGATGGTTGAGCTGGAACAGAGATGGAGGGGGAAAGCAATGAAAGAGATACCATGATAAAGGGAGATGTCATGGGGTTAGAGAGAAACCCAGTGCTAGGGAAGTTCCCAGGAATCCCCAAGGATGATCCCAGCTTGGACTACTAGAAATAGTGGAGTGGGTGCCTGAACTGACCTGATTTACCCCAGTGATCAGACCAGTGAGTACCCTGTCATCACAGAGCCTTTCTCCAATGGCTGATGGAAGCAAATGCAGAGATCCACAGCCAAACAATAGGCAGAGCTCCAAGAGTCCAGTGGAAGAGAGAAGAGGGATTCTATGAGCAAGTGCATCAGGATCATGATGGAAACCTGCAGAGATAACCAAACCAAACTAGTGGGAACTCATGAAAGTTGGATCAATGGCTGTGGAGCTTCTATGGGACTGGACTAGGCCCTCTATATGGGGATAGTGTTGTATTGCTTGATCTACTTGGGGGGGCCCTTGGCGGTAGGATCAGAATCCATCTCTGGTGCATGAGTGGCCTTTTTGGAGCCAACTACCTATGATGGGACACCTCATGTGGCCTTAAGGCATTGGGAAGGGCTTGGACTTGCCTCTACTGGATGTGCTTCCCCATGGGAGGACTTGCCTTCTTGTGGGTGGGAGTAGGGGTTAGGTTGGGAGGGGAAGGCTGGAGGGATGGGAGGAGGGAAGAGGGGGATCTCTGATTGGTATGTAAAATGAATAAAAAAATTCTTAATTAAAAAAGTTTGGGGGGGAGAAGAAAGAAAAAGTAAATTGGCCTATTGGTATTATCACATATAAAATTTCATAAATCTTCCTAAATGTTTGTTTCTGCTCTTTTCTATG